AGTCCGGGAACTTTCCGGACAAACTGTGTATTGTTCCGTGACAACAAAACAGCGTTCATATCGACACAATTCGTCCCTCTGTGTAAAAAATCTCGTGTGAAAATCCTAAATAATTAAATTTTCATGCGTTGAAAAAGAGAGAGAAAGAGAAGAAAAGGGAATCGGATTTCATCATCCATTTGTTCGCCGTCCATTTGTACGCGATAACTTATGAACGAACTGTGTAAGCCGTAATGTCGGATAGTGGCGTCAGAAGATGTTCTGAACAAGATTTTACGTTCAGAGAGAATGGGAGAAAAAAAGATTGTACTAAAATCCCACAGAATTCTCTCTCTTATCGCCATTTTCGTAATTCTTCATGGCCTCTCGAAAAAATAGACAGCAAAAACTCAATCAACCAAAAATAATTAAATTTAAGTTTCAAAAATGATTAAAGAAATGCGACATTTCTCAAGAGTAAATCTCAAACAAAGATGAGAAACGCGACCGAGCAAAGAGAAGCGCGCATCATCAGTTGCCGAATGCGCACCTGCACAACAACTCTCGACCACTATTTCTGGTCGAGCGCCGATACAAACCCGCACTCCGAACACTTCACGCGTCGCTGAAACGACGTTATATTTACCACTTCCTTGTGCCCGAGCTCTCTAGACGTTTCTCGGCTGCTTCCTACTCGTTCTGGGTCAAAAGTCTCGCCACTGACGAGACGATAGGAAGCCGAGGGGAACGACGACCTCGTGAGAACGTACCTTCTTTTGTTGTTTGGGAAACCAACAACAAAAGCGTTCCGCCGTCACAGGTGCATCATTCTCTCGCGGTTTTAACTCCAGAGACTTCCAGATGTACGAATGCAAATGCGAGATCCGACAAAATCTTTTTGCGAAATATTCGCGAGCAATTTTTTGTTTCACACAACCGGGAAAAAACAAAATAAAACAACTGCGACTTTGAAAAAATCGAGTCTCGTGAGAAAAAAAGTCGGGAGGGGACAAGAAACACCAAGTCGTGATGATACCGCGAAAAGCAGTAAAATGTTAAAAAAAAAAAAAAAAAAACACTTGATCCAGTCGCCTAACGAAGACTACTTCCGGCCGGATGTGCCACTCACGAACGCGT